AAAATTTTATTTTTATCAGTATTTTTATTTTAATCAAAATATGTTGAAACAAAAGTGAAACTAGAAAAAATTTTGCCAGATTTATTTTAGCTCTATAACGCTGTAATTCGATTAAGGGGCTGTATTTTGTGACTTTTAGATAGACGAATACAAAATCTATTCAACAAAGTGTGATTGAATTTGACATTGATCTCAGAACCATCCTATAGTCTAATTGAAAAAATTTTGTATGAATTTCGAATCGCTTGTTTATATTTCTTGGCATAATAGTACCTTAAAAAAAAGAGCCTACCTGAGTTGTCAATCACACCTTGTTTAATACACCTTGGACGAATATTGATAATTTTTGTGTCAATAAACTACATTAAGGAGAAATAGCAATTCATTATACATGCATACATATAAATAGTTACATATGTTTGATATTGGCCGTTTATTATATTTTAATAATATATTTTTGGGCTCCAGGCCGAGTATTAAATAAAATATGTATAACACTTTTGCTTTTTCAATATTTGTGGCGAAATATCGACAGAAGCAAAAGTAAATAAAGCAGTAAAATTGTAATGTTTTACGCGACCTATAGCAAAACATATAAATAATAGGTTAAATATTAATTTCATATTTCGGTTTAAATTATACAATTCTCTTAAACAGATATATGTATATGTATAAAAATTTTCATGATAAAAAATAAAAATGTAATGTTTTTAGGATGATACATTTTATTACCTCCGAGTATTGTCTTCTTTACTTTGCCAACTACTTTCATAGGAAATATCCAATCAAGATATAAATATTTAAGGGACACTCAAACAAACGCGGTATTGGAAGTACGGTACAAGGCGGTACATAGTATAGTTATGTACCGCCTTGTACCACACTTCCAATACCGCGCATGTGTGAGAGTGACTCTTTATTTACGTAATTAATTCCTTATCTAAAACTTGGACTAATATAAGAAGTGGAAACAAATAACAATAAAATGCAATCAACAGGTGTTTGCTCAACGCTTTTCATAAACATCTACGGGTGTTCATAGACCTAATCTCATACTCATTACGGATCTTCGAAGATATTCCGAAATACCGATGGAATCTCATTAAGCATATCGCTAGCCAACATACTGCGGCCCAATTTTTGATAACCGGCAGCATTGCATTTCTTGACCAAATAACACGCGGCGAACGTAGCTACAAATGCGGCATTTGCTTGATTAGATTCTAAAGCCCAATGGAAAAATGTAGCAATAGAGCCGCATAGTAAATCCCCTTGACCACCACAACGACGTCCAGAACCTCCAGCCGGTAAAGTATAGATTTCAGATGTGCTTGGTATATAGATCTTATCGTGCGGTCCCTTTTCAAGTACAATCACACCATCTCCCAGTTGTGCCATACGGTGTTTCATGACCTCCACATCTTCAGTGAAGAGACGACGAAATTCGACTTTGTTTGGCGTCAAGATGACGTTACATAATCCGTTTACTAAATCGATATTTTCATTGAGTATAAATAAACCATCCGCATCGATGACTAGTGGTTTGTTAAGCTCTTTACATAGTTTGATAAGGCGTATAGCAGTCTTTTGTATCTTTGGGTCACGTCCTAGTCCAGGTCCAATCACCAATACATGGAGGCGCTCCATCCACGGCGTTATTTGCTCCACTGCATCATCTGCATCTAGCAAAGGGTGTACGATTAATTCTGGACTGTAAGATTTAATGACAACCGCTGCATCTCGCTGGCAAAATACATGAGCCAGGTCGGCACCTACACGCATAGCGCTTATGGCTGAGAAATATGGTGCACCCGTATACTCCAGCGAACCCCCGATGACACCAATACGTCCAGCTTGACCTTTGTGACGTTGATTGACGCCGCTATCGGTGGCATTCAATGTTGGCACTACTGTGGAACGCGTTAGCTTCAGCAGCTTTTCAGCCTGTACAGGTATTTCTATGAACTTGGACATTTTATAACTATAAGTCGTTCTGTGAATATAGCTGGCACCAAGCCAATTACCGATAATCTTCCGATGTGAATGAGTAAATAAATAATAATTCAGCTTGGTCACGTTGCCAATCGGCTTTGTCAAGTTCATTTCTATGTTTTCCCGTTTGTTCACAATATAACCAGTAAACAACCTTCGGTGAATTTGGCGACTGC